TATATATTTTTTTTATGGTTGGTATTTTTATTGTTATTAGATGATGAAATATGAATATTACTTTATGCATGATTTTTTTTATTTTTTCATATTTTTTTAAATAAGACAGACGGTCAAACGTTGGATACAAATATACTTAAATGGATCGAAGGGAGTACTAGAATATGTTATACTACTACTAAATTAATCTATTTTAGAAGAAATGTAGTATTGCTGATTACTCCCTCTCCCACAAAAAATGTATCTAAAAATTGTTGTGACACATTCTAGTGTAACGAAGATTCATATTACTAGGATGAGTCACATCTAAATTGGTTTTGTATGGAATATGTGAGTACTCCACTGCTATACTCCCTCCGTAAAAAAAAGACAAACCGTGGGTTTCCGTGTCCAATATTTGACTGTCCGTCTTATATGAAATTTTTTATAATTAGTATTTTCATTGTTGTTAGATGATAAAACATAATTAATATTTTATGCGTGATTTGTCTTTTTAAATTTTTTTTCATATTTTTTTAAAATAAGATGGATGGTTAGGACATGGAAACCTAGGTTGTTTTTTTTTTTGTTTTTTTTTTTAACGGAGGGAGTGCTTCCATACGCATAAAATAATCCGCAGGATGCATGGCCGTGCCCCCACCGGCCTATCACGTCTGCACCTCTGTGCCCATGCAGGCCTAGTATTTGCCGTAGTAGGCTACGCAGTGCGTCGCATGGACAGGGAGCTAGAGAGAGCACAAGCTATTTATGCACGGGCAAACTTTAGTGTGGGCTACTGCATGCAGACACAGGCCACTGCATTTGGAGGGTTGTTGACCTGAACAGCACCCGGTCTTGATGTGTGTGTGTGACACATACGCATGCATGCACACACATTATACAAACGGATCTCGTACACACACACAGCCCGGTCTGGGTGTTGTGTGTCACACACAAACACCACCATACTACACGCACGTAACACAAACAGGCATACACGCATAAACACCAACCAAACATAACACAAGTACAATATTTTGCATTGCACGCAGATTATTGGTGGTTTCTGAGATTGTCAACGTTATGTTTACACAAGACAGTGCATTATTAGTCGACTTATGCAGTTATTTACGCTGAGCTAACCTAGCTACTATATACTCTATTCTACATGTGAAGTTTTTGTTTTGTTTTCTTCTTGTCGCCTAAACATACAAGTTTTTGTTTTGTTTTCTTCCTGTCGCCTAAACATACAAGTTTTTGCTTTCTTCAAGTTGGTGGAGTTGGAGACGATGATGGACGGTGTCTGCTTCCAACTTGAAGATAGCATACCTCCATGCCCGTTCTACACGAACGGAGCATTGTATGCTGGTGGGTATCCATACATGGGATCTGCAAAGTATATAGTGTGGGGCAGGGTATAATCAGCATTTTTCAAAATAAAGTGTAAAACAACATTCTTATAAAGACAAATTACAATGATATCTGCAAAACATTGTGCAGGGTATAATTAATCAACATCTCTGAAAGTGTAAAGAACATTTTTATAAAGACAAGTGCAATGACATACAAAATTTAAGAAGGGCATAAACAAAATTTTCAAAATAAGAATCAAAATTTCAAAATAAGTGTAAATAACATTTTTATAAAAGAGAAGCTACAATCATGTATGTGTTATACATGTCTATTCAACCCCTTTTAATTTGCCACCTTGGAAACTAACATATATAGTGATGGCTTATAAGCAATCCCCTCTCAAATTCGACTCCCTAGTTTGCCATCACAAGAGTACACTAACACGCTCTCAGTCAACATTTTGGAGCCAACCCGATCGAGCGAGTGAATATGTCACAAACACTGGTTGGGGCATCGCCATACGTTAGCTACAAAATGTGGCTAAACTACCCCCAATACTGTAGAGGATAGAATATCCATATGATACTTTGGAGTTAAGTAGACCAACCATTACATTTCAAGGGTCTAATAAGTAGTCCTTTTGGATATATTAGGAGCACACCAGTGCCAAGCAACTTGACCAAGTATATGGATAAGTTGAAATCACTCTTGACACATGCTCATAAACAACTGGTTGGCTTAGAGCTTCGGTGCTATTTCTCCTATCTAAAAAAAAACTCCTAAAACTAAATGCAAATTTAGTACTAACAGCAGAAGACCAAAATACCCGTAGCACGATTTCTGATAGCCAGATAAACATAATTAATTACTAATGCTTTTTATCGGTACTCTCACTATATCCAGATTCGTATATAAAAGATATTTTTTTATTGAGGTAGTAGTCTACACTACTATTATCACCATCTAAAACTTCTGTAGATGTAAAACACTAGCTAGAAACAACACAATATTGATGCACGCATCATATCAATCTACTAGAAGACAGGTAGAAGTTTTTCAAAAAATATAAAGCTTCAACTCTAGAAGTTGGTTTTTCCCTAGATGGAGAAAGTAGCAAAGTAAGAAGGCTAAGAATCACAAGTGTACCTATCACACCTTTTGTTTTGTAGGGAGAAGAGTAACCAAGCCCAAGGAATTAATAAATACTTCATCCGTTCCAAAATATAGTTATTTCTAGCATAATAGCATATCCTAAAATGAAGCTATTTTTTCACATATCCTCTCCTCTCAACTAATCACAATCACTCTATTTAGGGGGTGTTTAGATGGGGCTAAAACTTTTAGCCCATGTCACATCGGATGTTTGGACGCTAATTTAGAGTATTAAACATAGACTAATAAAAAAACTAATTTCATAAATGAGAGCTAATCCGGGAGACGATTTTTTAAGCCTAATTAATCCATAATTATCAAAAGTTTACTGTAACATCACATTGTCAAAATCATGGCGTAATTAGACTCAAAAGATTCGTCTCGCGAATTAGTCCAAGCTTATGGAATGGGTTTTGTAATTAGTGTATGTTTAATACTCCAAATTAGTGTCCAAACATCCGATGTGACAGGGACTTGGAATAAGTCCCTAGAAACCAAACAGCCCCTTAATGTTCTCATATGATTTCTTTTCTCAACCAATCACAACATTCTTCCCATCATTTGCATCAACCTCCTTAATACTCGTGACTATTAAAAAAACATTTTTTTGGGACAAATGCAATAGAGGGCATGACAAGAAAAAAAAAACACATTGTTTGAGAAATAAAAGCAGCAATGGAATATTTCTTACAAACAACAATTGAAATAAATATTAAAAAAAGACGACTGAATGGAGAACAATGAAAAGGGGGCCGGGCTAAAGTTAAAGGGGCCATGGATAATACACCTTGCTTGTCTATAGTACATACCCTACTCCTATTTCAAGAGCTCATATATGTAAGATAATATTAATAATAATAATAAAGAAAATGTGAATAGGTACGTGTTTGACTAGGGGGACACATTTAACTATTTGCCACTTTTAATACGTGACAATTAAGGATTTGTCACTTATTGTTTATGACATATAAGCCCTCATGTGTCTATGATATATGGTTTTAGTGGTAAATCTTTTATCACCACTCGTGAGAGTGGCGCAAATAGTTAACCATTCCTTGACTAAGAGTCAAACTTTCACACACTCGTCTAAGCTTGTGCGTAGTTTGTAATTAATTTTGTGGCGTGCCAGTATTCCTATACCACCTTTTTTTTTTCTATTTTAAAAGGAACACAACGAAAGGCCCCGGAAATTTCTATAGCACCTTTGGCCATTCGCTTGCGGTTAGGACAAGTGTTTCTATTTAGATTGCCACACTTTAGCAAGAAATGTTTGGCATGGACAATATGTGCCACCATAAAAAAATGTTTAAACCAGACTTGTTTCTAATGTCAAGTGGATTTGGGTACCATAGATCATTTAAAAAACACGCACAATACAAAAAGGCAAATAGCAGAATGATCAAAACCAATGTTAGCCAAACAAATTTGCAATTCAATCTAAACAGAACAAGTTAAAGTGTAAAAAATAAAATATGCAAAAAATGATTTAGTTATAAAGCTATTAATAAAATATGTGATCAGAAAGTGTGGACATGTTCTTTTAATGAGGGTAGGGACCCACCCAAATGCCACTCTCAATCAGGATCATATAAGTCAAATGACTACGGACTATTTTGGTTTGATAATAAAATGTGTCATACCAAATTATTAGTATTTTGAATAGTATTTTGTCTAGTGTTTGGTCAAAATGTGTCAATAGCACATATAAGGGGCCAAAATTAAAACATTTCCAACATTTGACGATAGTAGCAAACTAACAGGCCCTACAATTTGGAAACCTACTCCTACAAGTTTCACGGCCTGGTTCAGCACAGGTTGAACAGGCCGTAAAAGTTTACCTTCCATCCTGTGAAGGACTGAAGGGTTTCCCACATGGGCTAAAGGCCCATACGTTAAACCCATCCATTTATATAGCATTTGTAGTCTTATGGAGACACCTCAAGTACTGAGAGTTGCTGACTCCCATCCTTTTCGAGTGATTAGCCGTGGTTGGTAAGTGTCTGCGTACAAATATTTCCATTGTGCAAGGCTTGTGCTTCCAAAAATCTTTTAAGAAAAACAAATAGTTGGATGGCGTTCAGAATGCTCAGGACCTTCCAAAAGATCACACCAACTCTTTACAGATTCGGAGAGAGGACAACAAAGATAAAAACACTCGGCTTCCATCTTGATTATCTTTTCTCCACCGATCTATAGAGCCAGAATTGTATTTAGTGAAAGATTAGAGCAAGTAAACAAAGTCTCCCTATTATTTTTCTTAAAATTATTTTGAAAAAAAATAAAAGTGTATTATGCACAAACACAACCTTTACATATAGGCTGTGTTTAGTTCAGCGCAAAGTTTGGATTTTAGTTGAAATTGGAGATGATGTGACTGAAAAATTGTGTGTGTATGACATGTTGATGTGATGGAAAAGGACTAAAGTTTGGATCCAAATTTTGGATCTAAACACAGCCATAATGAGTAAGTTGCACCAAAAATCGACCCCACTAATCAACCCAGCTAAGGAATCATGTCAAGGTGAAAGGATGGACGCCTCTTCTCATAGGTCTTGTTTGGATGAGCCTCAATCCTAGCCCGTCAACATGTGTGCCAGGATTTTAGTTCAAAATCCTAGCCCATCCACGTCGATGGGTAGTAATTTCAGACTATCCAAACAAGGCCTTAATGAATGCCTTTTTTATAATTGCAATAGTGTATTTATACAGGATAATAAATTATTAATCTACATCCCAAGCCCCCTGTATCAATAAATTGCTTGGGCAATCCTCTCCCTAGCCGCCCTTCTAAGTAAAACGCTGCCATGGCCCTCTCCAGGGCCATGGTCAACCTCCCCAATCGTCCTACGCTGTTCTGTTAACTTCCTATTACTACTACTAATGTTGCTACTTCTACTACTATCGTGGTGTTTACCTTGGTTGGAATAGAAGAATGGCATCACATCACCCTCATCCCAGCCCCCTCTGCCGGCCTGATGCTGGTGCTGGTGCAGCATCTCAACCTCAGCTGCTTGATCCACATATTGACTTGAAGTGCTGGGGTTCAAGCTAGACCTCTGCCGCGAATAGCTAAGTTCATGTTCCTCAGGTATAACCACCGTGCTTACAGGGTACATTTGATCCGAGCTTCCAAATATGTAATCATACTCCTCCATGCTGGTCGAATTCCTTGTGCTGTCAGTGCTATCACTACTGAAAGTGCTGGTTGACCCTGCATCAGAGTTGCTGAACAGCGAGGAGCTGTCACTTGGACTCGGGGACTCCACTACTGTATAAGATGAGCCACCGAATGTGTAGGTGAGGTCATAGACTATATGATCTCTACATGACTGCCCACCTTGGTGTCTGCTTAAGTAACTTCCTCCTTCCAAAGATGGTGGTCCTGGATCCACCATCTGCTTGGCTTTCTTTGTGCACGATGAGTCTTGAGCAAGAATCATTTTCCTTACAGAGTTTGGTGCCCGTGGTGAACACCTGATATTTCCCGATTAATTTAAAGGAATTAAGGATACCCAGAAAAATGAGGCTACAAAATATACTGGATAACAGTGTCATCATTGACTAAGAGCAGGGAAAACCGGGTTTTTACCTTGCGTAAAATAGCATGTATGCACACTTTGACAAGACTTTTTCCAGAGAAACAGGTTTCACCTACAGACAGAAATACAGAATAGTTGGTGATTTAGAACAGAACATCAGTTTATGTAAGAAAGCAGAGCACATCATTCTTATGAGATCTAATAAATGCCTAAGTATTTCGCTGCTATTTACAAAAAATGAACACATCTGGTTAATGATCGAATAAGAGGTCTAGTCCGTTGATTATTTGGAATCAATCCAGAAATAGGGATGACGAAAAAAAAAATGGTTGTCATGATAGATAACACACAATAAGCTTAAATGTCTTCCAGTATCTAAAAACGTGTACTTAACATATAACACACATAAATACATAATGTGGAAAGGACATAATGTAGAAAGAACTGCTTACCTGGCTGTCATCCATCTTGTGCCACTTCCCTTGTGTGTCTTTGACATAACACACATAATGGCCAGAAAAGGCTGCATTCATAACATCATGATGGACAACCACAGCATAGAGCTGGTACACGGGGGAAATATCATCTGCTGTACTCATGTAGTTAGACAAATTCAAGTACTCCGTGAACCTGACAGCCTTGTTGATCTTGCCAAAATTACCAGACTGTCCAAACAGGGAAAAGTGTCATTGGAACATAAACAAAAAACTGCAGCATTCAGTAAACTTTATCTGAACAAACACAAGAAAAACTAACCCAACATAAAGTGGACTAGATCTCCTGAGTGCATATTGAACCTTGAAGTAAGGAAATAACCTAAGAGTTTTAATGGTACCTGATATCTTTTCAGCGCAATAGTCAGGATGTTTGGTGCTTCTGATATTGTCAACTTCTTTTTGGCACGTTCATATGACTTGCATCTGCCAAGGATAATAGTTTGAGGCATATCAGATTTGGCAGCAAAAAAGCAGGGTGATGTCAGGTACTACAAATCAATAGAACTAGACCGCTGAGTATGCATTGATTTCTCCCATAAGTTCCAGTAGTTAGATTGTATAAACCATCACCAACCTGAACTCCTATGGTGTGTTAAGTCAAGTAACTATAAGTGCCAATACTTTGTTTCAAAATCAATTCCCAAAAATATACATAAACTTTAATTGACTGCATGGTGATGAATGCAAGAAGCTTAGTCATGACCACATCTAAACAATGGAACAAAATCAAACCAACCTGCTGCAATTGTATCTATTATCACCATCTAAAATTTCTGTAGATGTAAACCGATGAAGTGCTTCTTCAAGGGTATTGATATCCCCATCTATTTCAACAGTAAGATCCAAAATGCGTTCACATTGTTCTGAACTGCCTTGACACATTGTGCATTTTATCTATAAAAAGGAAGAACAAGTTGAAAAGAATAAACAATGTAATTTCACTGGATATGATATGCTGACACTAGAGTTTCAGACTTGGAAAAGTTGAGTGTTTTGTGAAGAAAACCTTCGATCGTAGATAGCCCCCAAATATTAACTGCACCAGTGTTGTTTCTTCAGGCAGCCCATAAACACCGTTTTTCTTGGCTTCCTTCATGCTAGCAGATTGCATAGTATCAATTGCATACCTGTCAAAATTTATAAAACAGTTGAATGCAACGAAAAAACTAATAATGCGCAGAAGATCTGATCATCTGTCTAATTAAAACAGGATTCTTTCTAGAAAACATCCCAAACTTGGAAGTTTGTGACCAAATACCTTCAAGTCAATATTTTTCAAGAATAAAGTGTAACTGTGGGAGTTACAATAAGATTCCCTTTCCAAACGAAACATGGGTCAGTGCTAGTATATTGGTAAGGAAAACACCAGATCAATTTTGAATAAATACTACTTCAGAATATTTGTCACAGCAATAACATAAGTTTTGCATGAGTGCATGGCCAAACCATTATTTTTTAAACGAAAAGGTGTACCCATCATCATTCGTTGACATTATACAGCACATTATCAGCCTGAGTCCAAAAATACTGATTTAACTTGACTTAGCTACCATCAAGGGCTTAGCATTACAGCCAAGCAAATAAAAGAAAAACATACCTGAGAAATTCATGAGCATCTTCTTCTCTACCGGGGCCAAAGCTACTTCCAATGTCACGCAAATGAGATAGTATTCCAGTAGGTGACAAGTGAGATTTTCCTCGCCTACCCTCCAGAATGAGTTTTTCAAACTCACACATGAAGCACCATTCCTTTTTGGAACCTAGAAAACATGGCATCAATATTTGTTATTCATAAAGAAACATACCATGGTATGTAACACAATTCTGGCTTAGTATTAAGTTACAATTTCTTGAATGAAGTCCTTCCGTAAGGTATGCTGTAAGTGGCCGCGTAAATGCCAAGCACTGAAGAACAGCATTTGCGTAACAACTGAAAAGAAATCAAAAGAGGGAGTTTAGGCAAATATTACAGCATTAAGCATCACACTTGGATTAAGCAAATTATTTACACATAACATAATGTGCTCTAACATGTTTATATATTCTTTTTTTTCCTTGTACGTGTAAGAGAGCTGTGTGTCATTCCATTAAAAAAGAAGAACAAACACAACACCACACCACACACATGTTTTATATTCAATCAGTCACAACATGATAGAGAAAAACTATAATGCAGGGGCAAAAAATCCTGCTGAAAGCAATCCTACGGTTGAAAAAACAGTAGTTGTAAGTTTGGGCGAGAACCAAAAACACAAGGAAAAATCAAGCTGAAGTGTGCCTATTGCGCTAAGCTACCTGCCTGAGCACTAGTATCTGCTACCACAAATCATTTCGGACACATGCTGTTATTTTTTAATCCGCAGAATTTGCCATATTGGAGCCTTGCATGCTATTGAAGACTTTAACCCAGACTTTTCCTCTTCAAGTTTCATTAAAAAAAGGGAACTAGACATTTAGACACATTATTACCTTCTATACTTTACAATATGTACCTCGTCATACTAATTTTTGTGGTATGCCATGTAGTATGCTTTTGATCTGTTGGTGTATAACACCAATGCACGTGTCTTAGAAAGATTAGACAATTTGATTCGAACCATCTAATGTGAAACAATGAGATATGGGCTCTTATAAAATGCAGTATGCTAGATTCTGTCAGGATACAGTAGGGTAATGCTCATGTTGCAGCCTATGTACACCTTTCAACTTGCCAACAACACAGGACACTTCCTTTCTAGTAGAGGGAAGCGTATAATAGAACTGCCGTTTTGTTATATTATTGTGGTTTTTTTTTACATTAAAAGAATAACATTGTGGAATCATATGCAACTTTAAAAATCTGATTATTTATCCATGCTATTGCAGATAATACATATGTGAACATCGTTGCAAATTAATAACATTAAATTGATAACCCAATCTTAAGATCATGTACATTGATATGATTTATTACTTAAACCTTTAACACTGCATGTGGCCCTGCAAAATCTACAACACCGTTTAGTGCATTACAACAATGTAAAAAATATTACTAGTGTCGCAAGAGTGCAACTATCAAATGTTGCTGAATAGAAAATGATTGGGTTGACCACCAATCTATGCTGAATAAATGCGTTGTCTGCCCGTATCATGTAAAAGTTAATAAGTCCTATTGCCAGTGCAATGAACATAGTTAAGTCCAATGTGAAAAAAAGGTGAAACCATCAAAAGTACATGTATTCAAGACAACAGCATCATCACATGTTTGATTTCATCATCTTTATTAGCTATCTTCTACTGAATAAAATGCTTCTACATGGACTACTTGAAGTACAACAATAATATAAGCATATATATATATATATATATATATATATATATATATATATATATATATATATCTGTGTGTGTGTGTGAGTTGGCACATGAGTTAACACAAGGTCATTGATAAATCAAATCATTCAAACTACAGTGGAAGAAGAAAATCAAATAATGAACAAACCCATTTTAAGAAAATAGTTTAGTAATGACATGCATAGGTATAAATAATTGCCAAATGAAAACATTAGGATCGACCTAATTAAATGACATAAATGTTCAAATCAGTATGATTCCTCACATGTGATATTTTACAGGTTCATTATTTGATTTACCTATTCCCAAGGTTCACAAGACCAAAAGGGCGCAGCTCCACCTTGTCAAAATTGTAGAGCTTGACAAAATGTTCATACGGAAAAAGTGTCTGAAAAATTGAGACAACCATTAGGTAATTTTAGTGTAATGATATATGTTAATGATTAAAAGAGCTTCCAGTTTTATTTACCATTTCCGATGGATAATGCCTCACAACTTTTGCAGCTGCTTGTTGCCTGGGAATATTCTTTACCAATGACCGATTATTTGGCATAGCAGCTTCTTTCTCTGATCCATGAATAGAAGAAATTGTGCCAACAGTTGACACAGATGGCAAACCTCTCGAACTTTTAAGGTTGTCTGTGCCAGAAGCCTGTTTGTTAGAATGGTTCAGTTCAGGTTCCGACGTGGTAGACCGTTCAACTCGAGAACTGGAGCTGCCTGCTGAAGTCTTAGAGAAATTCTCATTAACAGTAGCATCCTGAATATTGCAAGCTTTACCAGAAGTTGGGAGCCTAGAACTATCAACAGATCTAATCCTATTGTTGTCAAGGACATCCTCAGAAACCTTTGCAGTAATAGATGCCTTCTGACCTCTCATCTTCTTTCTTTCATTATCTACACCATCGGAGACAAGGTTTGCCTCAGACAATTCAGGCACAGCAGCAACTGACTTGTTGACTTCAACCGCTGGTTCTACGCTGGATTTCACACTTTGTTCAAATGAATTGTACATTCCAACACCCTTTTTAACACTAGAAACTACTGTTATATTGTCAGGCCTGGCATCAACTCTTGGTGGATGGCATTCATCTTTATGGCCTTGTCTCCAGTGAGATATCTGGCACTTGAAGGTACTGCAACCAAAAAAAGGGAATTACTGAAGTAGCACATTGGTTATAGAACAGATAACATAGATATTATTAACGATCTTAGATTGATGCCACACAACATAACTTGCAAAGTCATGATAAAAAAAACTGCACTAAACTAAATATTTCTGATATATTAACCAATAAATATAGATAAGATGGAATCACATAAGAAGGGGAAGCGTGGAATTGTTGGACCAAAAGACCTAAGCCTTGACATGGAGTAAAACAGGAAGTGGAGATATCAAGTCTGGAATTGTATACTGATCTGCAATATTTACAAATAATAGTTCCATGGGAATTTGAATTTGTTTAAACGCTTTTCAGGATTCATTTATAGCTCAATACCTTCAAAAGAGACATTAAGATATAAGTGATACATTTCAAGGATGTGCAATTGTGCATAATGTAGACAACCAAGCCAACCATTTCCAGGAATTTGGAAACAATTAATTACCCAGTTAAAGAAATATATAGCGGAATGAAAATTAATTCAATAAATGAAGTGCTCCATTTTTTAATAACTAGGTTATGTTGGATAAAAATGCACATAAAGTGCATGTTCTTGAGTTTAGATTAATGCGCAACTTTTAAGTTTTGAGACCACCCAATGCATTTGTTTCATGTCCTTTTTTCCTACAATTAGAGATTTGGAGTAGCATCCAAGTTAATACAAAAAAAAATAGAAACCTAGCATTTCGTTAAACAATACTAGATGTAAACAGAACTCCAGAACACGGTACCATATTTATTAGGATTATATATTAGTCTATAGGCTGTTTGACATTTTGACAGTGGTCTAGATTATAGGAATTGATAAGCTGGGGTCTAGATCACATATAATATACCCAACAGAACAATTTTATGTAATCTATGTGCATATTTATTTTCCTAATCTGAAGAAGACATATTAACAGGTTATCTGAAAATAAGGTAATTCTCTGAAAGCAGCGCCAATGCTCAAAATCCATTGAGCCAAAGTTGATTGTACAACAATTCTAATTGGCTGATATACTTACTCAGAATCAAACAATAATATCCTCATACAGAGGAAATTATAGCTTATCTGGTATTTACATATAACACACTCCATACATAACATCACCACATAGCAAAATCTTGCTTTTTCCAAAAAAAAAAAAAACTAAATATTACCAGTTAGAACTAATAAAGGATTTTTGTGGTCATTAGTTCTCATACTGAATATTACACATAATGGATACTTTAAATTCCTAGAAGCACTGTTAATTGCCATACTTTAGGATTTACTCCTATTTCTGGCACATCTTCTTCACAGTCCCACACTTCCACAGGCGCTAATGCTACCACTGCTTAGCACAACTGTGCAACTGTGCCAGAATACATGTCTTGCAAGTGCTGTCCGTGACCATTATTCCACTAGCATATCATTTGATTGAATTTATCATTTTATATTAGAAGCTTCAGAAATAATTGTCAGAGGTAATGCAGGTTCTAGCATGTCGGTGTTGAGCAAATCATGTGTTGAAGTGTTATGCAGTTTCTGGTACTCCAAGTTCTATAAAGTTCTATGCAACAAATATTTGGGAAAGGGAAAACACGCTCAAGCTCAACACAAAGAACAGGTGCAGTGGTACTCTATTAACATTTATGAACCATTCAAATCAGTGGCGTAGCAGCGCCCTTGTTTTTTAGGAAAGCCAAACTATTTTTTATGCCATTTGCACAATGCCACATCATAATCAACATGAATTGCACGGGAAACAACTCGACATGAATTGCACGGGAAACAACTCTAGGAGGATGGTAAGTCACTGACCAGTATTTGACCCCTTTGCAGCGCTTGCATCTAAACGTGGTTGGCCTTCGGCACACCACGCACACCCCTTTCACCGCCGCCGCCGCCGCCGCTGCCTCCGCCTGACGGGCCGCCGGCATTTCCAACTCCACCGCCGCGGCCTCCTCCTCCTCCTCCTCCTCTTCGTCCTCCCGCGGCGAAGCCACCTCGGGCACCGTCCACAGCGGCGCACCCGCCACGCCGCCCCTCCCCCGCGCGTAGCAGTACGCCTCGCGCTCCGCGACCTCGGCCTCCACCGCCGCGAGCCTGGCGAGGCGCCGCACCTCCTCCCTCCGCGCCGCGGCGCGCCGCAGCGCCCCACGCGCCACCGCCACCACCGCGGCGACCGCCACGGCCACCACCGCCACCGCGAGCGACAACGCCGCCGACGCCATCTCCCTCCTCTACCGCTCAGTCGACTCCCCTTCCCCCGCCTCCGGCCCAGCGCATAGATCTCACCCCCGCCGCCGAAGCCGTCGCCGCTCGCATGCACCGGGTTCCCCCCCAACAAGCCACCGCCCCCACACAGCCCGGAGATTTAGGGTTCGCTCCACCCCCGCTCCGCTCCACCACCACCCCCCCTCCCTTTTGTCGTCCACCGCGAGTGGTAACGCCAGCAGCGGAACACTCCGGAAGGCAGCAGCCGCGGAGGAGGCCGCGCCAAGGAGTGACGCGAGGGCGAGCCCGCGAGGCGGTGGGGGGTGGAAAACGTGAGAGGAGAGGGAGAGAGCAGCCGCCCCCGAATGCGCGGTAGTAACGGCTGTTTCTTTCTTCTTCCTCTTCTTTTTTTTCCCTCTCTCTCCCGGCGGCGCGTCACCGCGCGCGAGACTAGTCACACAGGCAAGGCACGCGGCGGCGGCGGCGGCGGGCGGCCGATGTGGGGGGAGGAACAGCGGGAAACTGTAGATAGGTGGCGGTGGCTGGCGCGACCGGCGGGGTCGCGCGGTGTCTGAGAAGAACTGCGTGGTCGTCGTCGTCGTCGTTGCATTTACTCCGACATCCTCAGTGTTAATCACGCATCCACGCTAAGATTTGGTGTTTTAAAATTTGATTTATTTATTTATTACTAATGGTGTTTTAAAAATCGATTTGTTTACTGGGCTGAATGGAGTATTTTATTTGATGAATTAGGTGTTCATGGGATGTCATCCTTTTATAAAAAGAATGCTGTTTTTTTGGGTTCCTTTTTCAAAATGATGAGGTCAACTAGTATTATTTTCTAGTGATACTGTATCATGCAAGATTACGGCCTATGCGACTTCTCGTGACTCGGTATCATTAGGTGCTTGATACTCTCCCCGCAAAAAAGGAACTTGATAGTACTCTTTTCTTTTGCTTTACTTTAACAGTTTAACTATAATTTTGTTTTGGGGCCACTTTGATAAACTTTCTGGAGGAGAGAAATGAGGTCAGCAAGTTAAGGCGTGTGCATGCATGCAGGGGTGAGACTTTGCTCCAAGCATATCTCCAAGCATGTCAGCAAAGTGCTTAGAAAATTGAATATTGATAACCCACCAGGTTCCTGGCCACATGTCATTGTTGTTCGTGGTGCAACTTTTTGGTTGTTTGACACATTTGTGAAGCTTGAGGTCTTTTTCACGTGGGGATAGGTTGGGAATTTGGATGCCACGGTTATAAGTTTATCGCATAGGCCACTTTTTTCATCATCGTTGTCGACGTTCTTGTGAAAAGTGCTCAAAGGTCGTTAGTAAGTATCAGTTGATATAGATGGGTAGTTGGACATAAGCATTTGTTTCTTCATATGATTATAAATGTCAAAATATGCTCACAAAAGACGTGCAATTGGATATTAAATCATGAGATATGTATCTTCCCTGGTTCACTATTAATTTCAAGGCTCTTTATTTCACTCTCACCTTAGTGTAATGTATGCATTCTCGATTTAATCCACGGTATTAAAAAAATCTTGATTTGATAATACACTTAGATCTTTTTTTCTAATGGATATTGACTATTATTGGAACTTTAAAGTTTGTATTAATTGGTATCTCCATCTAATCAAGAGTAACATAGCATTGGGCATGTGCGTATTTGTGGATTGACTTTACCTTCTCATAATAAGTCTACTCACTTCTTGTCCAACAGAACTCAACGATTCTATAACCTTTTTTTTTCTGAGAAACACACCCCTTCGGAAGATTGGGCGGGCACAACGTACGCACACTCACCCCTATGAGCATGCCACTAAAAGAATAATTAGCCATAAATGCGAGCACCCGTGTCAAATCTAGGATTTGCACTCACCCCTATGAGCATGCCACTAAAAGAATAATTAGCCATAAATGCGAGCACCCGTGTCAAATCTAGGATTTGAACCCGGTGGGCTGGTTCCACCACAAGGAACCTAGCCAGTTGAGCTATGCTCACTTCATAACGATTCTATAACTCTCAATTCTTGTCAAATACTCCATCCGTTTCACAATGTAAGTCATTCTAGTATTTCCCATATTTATATTGATGTCAATGAATCTAGTCATATATGAATGTAGAAAATGCTAAAATGACTTACATCGTGAAATGGTGGAAGTAGAACTCAACTATTCCATAAACTCTACTAGCTATATTATTCTTTGTTTTCATCAACTATTACCACTTCTCACAATAAGTGTTTCTACTATGTATTGTTACTTCTGCCACCTAGCGATTGATCTACCTCCAAGGCAAGTTAGGTGTTCGCTTAGGATCCGACACTTCGTATCCACCGCCGATTGCTAATTTGCTATGCCGACCGATGTTAATATTTGAAACAAAGCTATCAGTCATTGGAAAACTCTGTTAGTCACCAAGACTCAATTGTGACATTGGCTCTGTCATCAGCATACCTAAGGTACGTTTGAATCTTCTAAAGATAAAGATGAAGATAAAGATTAAGTGTTTCACGTAAAACGATATGATAATAATATGTGATTAATTAAGTTTTAATTATTACAAACTTCAAAAATGGACTAATTTGATATTTTAGAACAACTTTCATATAGAAAGTTTTCGCACAAAACGTATCGTTTAGCAGTTTGAAAAGCGTGCCACGATAATCCAAAATTTTATCATCTACTAGTATGGAATTTCACCATGACAGTTCTACAATGACCTTACAAATAAGTACCACCAGTGTAATACTTATATTGAATATATTGTATACATGAACGAATACTTTGCACTGCCGCTTACAACATGCATGTGCTGCAACCTTCTCCTTTTCATGACGCCATAGGCCAAAATAACTTTTCAATTAGTATCCTTTTCCATCACCATCAGCAAAATTCTGATAGAGACAAACTTAATTCATTGTTAATTAATGGAATCTTATTGTAGATCCTTTTAGGTAGTTGTGCTTTCTTCCTTTTCGTGTTCTCCGATCCGCTGAACATTCAAGAAGAATTAGTTGTGATTAGCTGATATTTGTTGGCATACTACTTTGCGCAGTTAATAATTAACTATGGCTGTTGATTCTCAACTAGATGAAATACATGCCAGGTATCCGTTATTTAGGTGAGAAATGTAACTATTGAATGTATCATTTTATCTTTTGCCTAAAGTTGTTTCATTATTTTAAGAGAGATTATAACTCTCTGGTTTGGTGCTGGCTTATCAACACACACTGTCAAAATTTAAATCATAAAACACAATTGTAGAGTTGGTTTTTGGCCTTTTCATTACATATAGTCGTTTTTTCAGCTCTGGTTTTTAAACCATTAACAACAAAAATATAAAAGTTTTAGCTATAAATTATCTTCATTGTTACGTTTATTTTTCTATGCCTTACCCATCGTAACTCCAGCAATAAGTGCTAAGATTTTATTTATTGCTTTTTGTTTCATTCTATGATTACAGAAAAAAATCTAAGTTAACATTTTATAAGTTAAATGAGTTGGTTAATTTGAGAAAATCATAATGTGTATTGTTTTGAGCGGTCTATTTATGAAACCCAATTTTAAAGTTGAAACGGTACGAAAAAAAAGTGTACTATATAACCCGCAGATTTTAGGGTAAATTAGATCATGTCATTGTAAATGTGCCTATTCAGAAATGTTATGATAATTCGTCTATTCGTAGCCCATGTGTCGAGGAGTGATCCTCTCTAGCGGGAGGACGTGAGGCCCCCCTTTGTGAGTTTGGCCGGGGGAATAGGGCGCGATGGTCAGGAGTGTATCTTAGCCGTCCAGTAGGCTAGTATGATGGGTGGCGGTCAAGTGGGAGACGGGGGATTATCCAGGTTCGGGCCGCTGGGCAGCGTAATACCCCACTCCTGTGTATGGATTTATGCTTATGCTGTTACAAGAGATCTCAAACCCTAGAGCGACAGTTGGCAAGTCTTTTCCTAAGGTTTGAGCTACCCAGCGTCGTCCCTTCGCTTGGTGGGCAAGGTCCCCTTTTATAGTTTAAGGGGATACCATATGCACCACCTCTACCCGTCTCGGTCCTGGAGAGGGGCCCATACCGACCTGGGTCGAGCTGCCACCCATGCCCTAGGGCAAAAGCAAAGGTGGCTGCTTGTCCTCAGGTGGCCCCCAGCGCCGTCCTCCGCATGACACGGGGGACACTCCTTGTCATTCCTTCATAAATTCCTGGAGACTTTTGTGGGCTTAGCGCCGGTCGGACATTGATCCCCCGTTATTGATGGGACGGGGCATACCTGACACAGGGCGGGACGTGGGTGCGCTGTACCCGTCCCATCCGCTGGTGGATGGTCACAGCCCAGTCAGGGCGACTGACGCACGTCTAATCGCTGGGCGGCGCACGACCAGCCACGCCGCATTAAATGCGGCGAGGGGGCGGTTGGGGCGGTGCCCATAAATGTGCCTGATAGCGCTCCTATCTCCGCCCACTCGACCGCCACGTGGCAGCCGAGTGAGGGCCTCAGGGTGGCGCAACCCCTCGAGCCCGAGGGGTGCAACGGGACACCCCGAGGCCCCTAGACGGAGGTAGGCGCCTCTTCGGCTATTCGCTGCCTGCGCGTCCGTCCCCCCCGACGCGGGGGGGGGGGGGGGGGGTCGGGCCGCGCGGCCACATGGCTGGGGGAAAGGATTTTTTCCCTTTAGCGCACGTACCCCTGGGCCCATATCACCGACACCATGCCACTTAAATTTTATAAAATTAGGAGCTTGCCACTGTCGTCACGTTTTCCATCCATATCTCTTTTTTTCCCCCATTTTCTTCCTTCTTTCTCCTGTCTTCTTCCCTTGAGCGATGTTCTCGGCAAGAGAGGAGCAGCATGGTGGCGTCGTCCTCACCGCACGACTTGCACGACTACTTGGATGCCGTTGGCAAGGTGGAGGCGTTGTCCGCCACGACAGCGAGGGCGTCGGAGTCGCCGAAGCATTGGGCGGGGGCGTTGCGGAGGAGGAGGTGGTCGAAGGTGAGGCGGATGCCAGCCGCAACGGCCTCGTTGCTGCAGGCGAGCCCGCACACGCCTGGCTCTCGGTGGCAGCGTGACGGAGCAGCTCCTCTAGCTCGACCACGTGGCGGTGAGCAGCGTCGAGCTCGGCCTCCTTCTCCCGTAGCCACTGCAGCCAACGCCAACGCCATGCGCACCAGCACCTAGCACTGCCTCTCCGCGCCTGCTCCAGCCCGTCGTGCATCCGCTCACACTCCATCCGCACTACCGCGTCGATCTTCGCTCTATGTAGGCACATCTCAGACACCAGCGCATCTCCCATCACTGCAGCCGAGGCCACTGACCACCACCAACCAGCAGTAGCGTCGTGAATGCCGCCATCGCCACATATTGCTCCACTATCTCCCTCTCCCGCTTCCTCGACACCCCCATCACCGCACCACTACAAACCCCACAGCCATTGTTGCACGTTAGCTCGCTCTGCGCCGTGTCACTCACCATGATAGCGCAGTCATACCCACTGTCGCCATTGTTGAAGCAACCACCCAACGTTGAGAACATCACTGAAGGAAGAAGACGAGAGGAAGAAGGAAGAAAATGGGGGGAAAAGGAAAATGGATGGAAAACATAGC